GGAGAGAAGGATATGGAAAAGGTGGAGAGGAGTAGACGAGATTAGTAGAAGATGGTGAGTGGGGAGGAGAAGAGAGAAAAAAAGGTTGTGGAAGATGAGTGAAGGAGGGGGGAGTAGTGGTAGGGTTAGAAAGGATGATTAGATGATGGGAGGGGGAGAGAAAAAGGGTTGGGGGAGATTAGCTTAGTGGGTAGGATGGTGATACCGAGCTTTTGGGAGGCCAAGAGCAGAGCACTACCAAGATCCACAGGATCTTGGACTTCAAAATGCTGCTGGCCTGATGTCACTGCAACAGAAATGATGTTGGAGTAATCAAGGGTTGGCTGAGATCTTGATCAGCCACCCTGGATGCCTAACGCGCAGCCCCCTAGCCAGGGGGGTCTTCACTACTTACAAACTGCTGGTGCAGCAGTGCAAAAAAATAATGGTCAGCATCATCATCAGCAGCTGGGGGTGCTGAGATTTTCATCAGCCACCCAGATCAGCCACCCAGATCAGCCACCCAGATTTTCAGCTCCACAACAAGCTGCCATGTGGCACTGCAGATGGCCACGTGCGCAGGCAGCAGCAGCCATGTGTGGGGGGGCAAATAGCAGCCCACCCATTCCTGCCCTGCTGGCCGCTGGCCGCTGCTCGCCGCTCGCCGCCCGGGGGATGGGGGGGGAGGGGGAGGTAAATAGCTGGCACAGCACTTCTTCAACATGAGCGTGCCGCACTCCAGAGCCATACACACACTGTGCCCAATGTGTTATGGCAGCAGCTACACACGCGCATGGCCAGCAGCTGCCCAGGTTCAGCATATGCCGCACTATAGAGCCATTTGCCAATGTGTTATGGCAGCAGCTACGCACATGCATGGCCAGCAGCTGCCCAGGTTCAAACCCTGGCAGCAGCATACATCCCGGATCTTGATATGAGCGGGGTGGGGCGGGGCAGCGTGGGCATGTGGTGCGTGCGGTGGCCTTGGGCCTGCGTCATAATCCCCGTCTCTCTTTTCTCTCCACGTGTCACTTTTTCCCTGCTGCGCCTTTCGTCACGTTTTCCCGCTGTTTTTCACTGGCAATGGCCGAAAAACAGCCAAAAAAAAACAGTGTCGGGTTTTGCAGTATTTCCTGCTATGCGGTGTGGTGGGTGGGAGCGGGGAACGTTCCCGCTCTGATACCAGTGTGGTGGACCCACCAGGTGAGGTGCTCCGCCTGGGATAGAGATGGAGATGGAGGCTGCGGGTGGAGCAAGATGGCACAGCGCAGCTCCCACGCAGACTCCAGTGCACATACAGAAGGGTATACCCCAGTGGACTGACTGCACTGCACTGGACTGGCGGGTACCGACAAGAGGTACCGGCCTGGACTGGACTACCCCGAATACAACACCGGCCTGTGAGAACAGGCCAAGGGGCTGGTCTCACAGGCCAACCAGAGGTCCGCTTCATCAGCACACTGGCATGGCATGGCATGGCATGTTACTTCTGTCAGATAGTTTAGTGGCCTTCCCAAAAATCCTGTTTTGCTTAGTTGATTTAGCAGCTGAGTTGCAATCCTTGCTATCTGGACCATGACTATGTGGCTCGAAGGACTTTCTCTTTGGCGTGCACTATGTGGCCAACGACGGTTCTGTTAGAATTAATCACGCCATAGCCCTCAACGAGAAGGCAACACCTTAATCACAAGAAAAGAAGGAGAACAATAGATGAAGGAAGAGAAGAGGGCGCCTTAAGCACGCAGAGCTTTCGACAACTCCAAGAAGAAGTGGAGGAAGAAAAAGAGGAAGAAGATGATGAAGAAGAAAATGAAGAAAAGGTCTTCCTTTTCCAAGCTTTTGCAGGCAAGGCTCCCCGAAATTGCAAATAGCTGTTATTTCCTTCGCAGCTGGACCTCTACCAAGCCCCTTTTCCCGGGTCCAAAACCCTAAACCCTCCATACTCTTAAGAGAAAGAGATGGCACAGATAGACTAACCACTTCCTCTCTGAAAGGAGGTTTCCATTGTTTCCACAGAGATTGATTCGCAAATGCAGTTTTTACCGAATTGGAAATGCTGACGAACGTTTCTTCTCTACCAAGCCATTCTTAAAACCCCAACCCTAGACCTTCAATACCGCTGAGGAAAGAACAGGACACACCTCCCCTCAGGTACTACCAGGTTGGCTGTCACTTCCAGCGCGGGTTATAGTCGTAGAGTTTCTGCAAGATTTGAGCGGCACTATTCATCGTTGCTCGTTTTTGTTGCTTTCAACCTTGTTCCCCCGATGTTATCGGGACACGCATGGCAGATCAGACAATCCATCAATCAAACCAACAAGAGTTCGAGCAGTTGATTATTTTATCACAGCTGATCCAATGCTTGTGCTGTCGACCGACCGTTTTCTTTGTCGACCCACAGTTTTCTTATTTCAACGAGTGGTTCGTTCGCTTGCTTGGCTGATTGAGTGGTTGCACGATTGACAATATATTTCACTGATGGTTTGATGGTTGATTGATTGCTTCTCAATTGCTTGCGTATGATGTTCATCACACTTCCAAGATAAACACTACACTCATCTATTGACCAGCTCGTTTATCGATTCATTTTCTTCCTTCTCGACTGCAAAAATCTCCCTCATTGATTGATTATCTTCCTGATTTATTGATTGATTGATTTTCTTTCTGATAGATCGACTGATTTTCTACCTGGTAGATTGATTGATTTCCTTCCTGATAGACTGATTGATTTTCTTCCCGATAGATTGATTGATTTTCTTCCTTTCTTTTCTCCTTTCATCCAACGCTCTTTACGAGACAGCTCAATGCATGCATGATCTCTTCCTCATCTTGCCTTCGCGCTTTCTCCCTATCTCGCCTTACCCTCCTCCTCTCCATCCCTTTCCATCCCCTTTCCTGTCCTCCTTCCCTGCTGTAGGAAATCCTGAATTCAACAATCAAAGCATAGGAAAGGCAGGATCAAAACGTTGGCAAGGTAAACGGCCTAAAGTAAGAGGCACAGCAATGAATCCAGTAGACCACCCTCATGGAGGAGGAGAAGGTCGTACATCCATTGGAAGAAAAAGACCCCACCCTCCTCCTCTCCATCCCTTTCCATCCCCTTTCCTGTCCTCCTTCCCTGCTGTCTCGTGCCACTCCGTCTAGCCCCCCTGTGCAGCCGTTGTGGCCGTTCCATGCCAACTACTCCCGATGACGATGCATGCCATTTGCTCTCCCGCCAAAACTACCCCCTTCATCCGAAATAGAACGCCTGGTCATTATCGCTGCATCTGGACTGAAATTTGCCCCAAATACAGCTATAATGACCGTGCGTTCTGTTCGGGTGAAGACGGCGGTTCCCTCTCCGATGTCCAATGCTCTTTCTACTAAACTCTGCCGGCCGTGTACAGGATCAAACCACTTGATTCGATGGATAAATGCATCCATTGCTTGGCTCCTGAACTCACTCCCCTCCCCGTCAATTCTTTCAAATCACGCGCTTGCGCAGAGGCAACCAAATAAACTACGTCAAGGATGCGCGAAAGAAAAACACAGTAAACCACCAAGTTGAACCCATTCGCAGTCCTGTGGTTTCCTTTGCCCAACAACCGTGGAAGACAAGAGTGCCGAGGCCCGACCTGGGCCTCGGCCATAGGAACCTCAGCCACAAGGATCTTTCCTGGCTCACGCCCTACACGATACAAAAAAAGCGTGATAAAGACGCCTTTCTTAACCAACCAACCAACCAACCAACCAACCAACCAGAGATGGCAGGCAACTCCTTCCTCGATGACTAAACCATAGGGAAGAAAGACGTCTTCTTGAACAACCAAAGCCAACTATATAGCTGACAAGCAACTCCTTCAACGACCAAACCACTCGATGCCCGAACATAGGATTACCCTGGTGGACAATCATTATGTAGTCGATGAGACGGTCAGCGGCCAATCATTATGCGGTACGATCCGCCTGGTAATTGAACTGCTGGGTGCGGATACGCCCACCGTCTCCCGTGAGTGGACGACACTCACCTGCTCACCCCTCACCCACTAGCCTATCGGGAGACATAGCCCCAAAGTAGACAAAAGGTTGATTCAAGCACAAACAGAGAGATCGCAAGTGCAGCTGACATGACATGACCTGACCTGACATAAGCGGAGCTATACCACGGTACTGGTGGAATACCGACGCATGTAAAGGTCATCAACTTAGTGCCAACACGCACATGCCATGTCACATGTCACAGGGGAAACCAACATGGTCGCACCACACATGACCGCGAACACCATGAGACTAATAAAATCCGAGCACAGGATGTACGCGCTACCGAAAGAAAAAAGAGGTACCACCGACGCGCACACTGGGGAAAGACCCTACGCACGTTTCACCCGGTCCCCAGTTCGGCATCATCACGGGTCTAAGAACCCTGGCTAGGATGTCATACCGACGGGTTTTGCGAGTACCCTACACTTGCCCGCGTCCCGAAACTTTACCCCAATGATTCACCCCTTTTCCTATTCTTGTGCGCGTCTCAATAATTCACCCCAATACTTCACCTCATGCCCTCCGCATTCCCCAATACTTCACCTCATGCCCTCCGCATTCCCCAATACTTCACCTTCTGCCCTCCCAAGTCCCTCGATTCCACCATTTTACGCCTGTGTACTCAAGAGTGTGTTAGCTCTCCTCTAAGAGCCGCATCTCGCTCCCCTCCACGTAGACGACCGGCAGTGGATTAAACGTTGACGACAAAAGAAAACGGACGAGACAAGAAAACAAGAGAGAGAAAGGAAGGACTCAAGAATTTAACAAGAAGGACCGCCAGTTAATTAAACTTTGACGATAGAAGAACACGGATGAGGCGAGTAAACAAGAGACGGAAGGACGGATTCAAGAATTTAACAAGAAAATTGAAGAAATGACGTGGATGCAAGAAACGAAAAAGCGAAGTGTAATGCGCGGGCATGCTGAGGACTTCCAGTAGAAGCAGGCAGGCAATGGTGGGAGTTGCTAGAGGAGTAATGGATCACGAGTCACTTAACCTTAGTCGTTGTCGAGAGGAAGGAAACGACTGGACAAGGGGTGCTGCCAAAATACACCGTGTTCCCGCCAGTGTATTGATCTGCAGAGAATGCTCTCCCGTATAGTGTGACCTCTGTGCCACCAGTGACCGCTCCGCGGGATGGACTGATACTGTAAATTGTCGGCGGTTCAACCATAGAGGACTGAGCATTGGCAACCATCAACAGCTTCAACCAGCCGCCGCCAACTCTGCCGCCAAAGCCACTGAACTCTATCGGGAATGACGAGGGACGCTCGTCAACACTCACTGACAGAAGCGCTGCGATCAAGAATACTATCACCGCTGATCGAACCAGCTGATGGATGCCGTAGAGCGGCAACGATGGCGGACGTCTACAACAGCGCACCTGAGAGTGGCACCACGCTCCACCTCCTGTATCTGGTGAATGCCCCATCGTGCCAACACCGCTTGAATCATCTCTTTTATCCGCCATCTCAATCAACTGATCGAGTGATCGACGCCGAACCAGAGCAGACAATCAGCGGTTCAGAAACCTCGCCCCATCCCTGAGCATTCCGGTTACCAACTCAGCACTCCACAGATAGAGTTCGTTAAGTTGAGCAAGCAATTCTCGCAAACAGCCCCGACGGAGCGTGAGAGCGACACAGAGAGAGAGAGAGAGAGAGAGAGAGAGAGAGAGAGAGAGAGAGAGAGAGAGAGAGAGATTCTCTCTCCTCTCCCCTCTGGCCGCTCCCCGTTCCCCAGGTTTAACCTCGTGCAGGCACGGCGCCAGCCGTGTTCCGACCGTGCATTATCAACTTCTCGGCCGTTACTCCGGCCGCTGGAGGACAACGTAATTGAGCGCGTTTTCGTGTGTGTGCGTGTGTGTGTGTGTGTGTGTGTGTGTGTGTGTGAGAGAGAGAGAGAGAGAGAGAGAGAGAGAGAGAGATTTCTGAAACCAGGAAAGCTGTCCCACCCCCACCGCCCGCACACCACCTCACACTACGTTCCTAATTCCATCTCTCGTTCCCCACCTAGAAGGCTGGTAGGCCGAGCGATCCTCAAACCGCCCATTGTTGTTGAGTTGCATTTGGCGACTCGAACCAAAGCAAAATTCCCAGTCACCTCAGAAAACATCTCCAGTTGCTTTTACATTCACGCGCGGGAAGGATTGCCAATATTTCATCAAACGAAATGTAAATGGACAACCCGCATGAGCGCCCACACACTTCAGCAAGAGAGTGTGCGAGCGCGCGAGAGAGAGGACATGTGAGGAAGCGGCGTGACATGCGCGAGCGATCTCCTCCCCTCGCTCTCCATGTCGCCCCGCGCCTCCCTTCACCTACCCCCCCCCAACTTGCGACCTCCCTTTCTCGGCCTTCCACCCTGATAGGTGGAGTCACTCTTGCGAATCCGCGTAGTCAACGTCCAAGATATTTGGCCAAACTCGGTCTTCATCCGTCAATGACCAGGAGACTACTATTAACCGGAGTTGACAGCTGGACGTAACATACATATAACTGTCCGTCCTCAGTTCAAATCCCATAACGGCACAAAATGCAGAACCAACGTGAGTCCTTCAGGACATCCGTTAAAATTGGAACGATACAGAGAAGATTAGCATGGCCCCTGCGCAAGGATGACACGCATAAAAAATAAAAAATAAAAATAAATAAAAAGAACCAACGTGACAGCGAGAACTGGTAGATACGGCCTACGCTTTTGGTTTTTCGGGTCCAAACTTCGCCGGTTTTAAAAGGATGCAGACATCTGGCGGAAGAAGAGAACCTAATTTCTCTGAATCTCAAATTCCAAGGGGCGGTATGGACAGCAGAGCACGTAATTATTCGGGAGGCGGGCCATCATATACCCCTCTTCCTCATGAGAGGGAGGTAGGTTTTCGTCCATATGCCCGGTTGAGACCGCCCCCATGGTACGATCAGCAACAGCGGTCTCTCGGTCCATCGGCCAATAGGTACCAGAACATGCTCCAAAACGACTACGGTACGGGCTTGGAACTGAACTACAGAGTGTATGGCAACGGAGCTCCTGTCCCTTCAGGTCTATCGCCACCAGGAGACCAGCACGACAGAGGATTGTTTCAAAGAAGAGGCACAGCGAGAGATGCAACCGGAGGCCAGGATCTAGCTCAGAGACCGGAGGAGGAACTACATGAAGAAGGCGAGGGGGAGTCTCAAGCTACCCCAGCACCATCGCCTTTAAGGGAGGACTAGCTAAGCGCCCGCGGTGCCAGCAATGCCCACAAAAATAA